ACCAATATTGGTCTGAGGAAAACCACTGATGGCCCACCTGCCTGACAGCGAGCTAAGAGTCTACCACAAGGCCAGGCAGGGGAACATAGCTAAAGCTAGTGAAAGATGGCAGAGAAGGTACCCACAGCAGCCTTTGGTAATGAACAGAGACAGTATCCGAGATAGTTACAACTAAAAAGAAGTTGGATGCCGCAAGAAGTAAACCCATAAATTAACACTGGTGTGACTTTTGAACAATGGCAACAGTTGAGACAACAAAAGGGGCTGAAAAGTGACTGGCTGTATTTCTGCTCAACAGGTAATTATCAGGGTTTTTTGTCTGTTTGTTTGGGAGGTGGGATTTGTTATTTCCCTCATTAGTAATCAGGCAGTGTGCGTTGCGGTGTGCATTGTATTTTGGAGGAGTGGCTTTGGTCAGAACAAAAGGGTGGAATTTCTTCACTTGGTTCCTTTCAAAATCAAGCTTCCTCTTGCTGGTTTTTCCAGGAACACCAGCTATACCTTTAAAGGCTATTGAAGTTTACTTTTAAAATTTCTCACCATAGTCTGAGGCTTGCTGAGGACCATATGTGCTTGAACAACCTCCAACATATGTGAGGTGATTTCATTCATGTCCTCCAGGGGCCTGACGCTGAATGCCACAACTGATCTGTGGTTCTGAGGAAGGAAAACAATCACAGTCAATTCAAGTTCAGGAAACATCTATCACATTGTGCTCATGGCAGGCATGTTTCAACAAATAAAACAAATAACTACGGTTTTCTGAGATGAAGTGGAATTGAAATTCACATTTACTGAGTATGTATAAATCAGCATTTTGAGTACAACTGCTCATGAAACAAGCTCAGACCTACTAACAATTTAAGATGGCCATGTCTCATCACATGGGATCATAAAGCTAAGCTCCTATTTGTTTCTGGCTACTATGGAGAGGATTTAGGAGAGTAAACTCACCTGAAAGGAGCGCAGATTGCCAGATATTTTGACATATGTGCCTGGGGGCAGCACAGTACTGTCCACACTGGGGTCCTGAACAAATCAAAACCACAGAATCACTAATGTGCTTATGTTCTAAACAAGAAATGATTAAAGTGGAGTCTATTAACTAACCTCTGTGTCTACCCACTGCTTCACATCCATGGGAGCAGCTGTCATGTCATCAACTTTGTACTGGATGTTAGTCATGGATTTGTCTGTGCTCCTGATGATGCCCACAATGGTAACCTATGACACAAACATAAACAGTCACTAAACAAGACAAAGTTTAAAAACTGCATACTTATTATGGGGGTGTAACAATAAACTACTGTACTGTACTTGAGTTAGTATGTGTAGTATAAAACAAAAGTGTTTTTAATTTACGCAGGCTGTGCATTTTTTTTTGACAACTTCCACCCTTTTCTCCAGAGCAGCATTTGTAACTAGAAAACTATGCACCCTCTCCAAAACAGCCAACTATTTTGATGTAACACAAAGTAAATTAAGTGCTAAAGAGGTTCAATCTATTTGCATACACGCCAAAATACATCAGCCATAACATTGTGACCACCTCCCTAAAACTGTGTACACAGGAAGCAGTGCAGCAGTTGGTTGGTGCTCGTATCACTGCAGCTCACTGTGCATCTTCTGTGAATCCGTTTGCTTCCATAGTTCTACTGTCAGGAAGAGCACAGAGGTTATGTAAAAGTGTTATTGACTTCAGCTGTCAGTGGTCTTAATGTTATGGCTGATTGGTGTAGTCTGTATTTAAGGACAAGAGTACATTATACACAATCAAGACCTAAAATTTGTAGTTGATTTATCAATTAACTGAACCATAGAGAACTAACCCAACATCTAGAGATGCACCTATTATTTTCATTACTGATTAATCTTCCAATTGTTTTTTTCATTATTTACATTTCCCCTGTAACCTGCCCTTTATCTTTTCCCAGAGCCAAAGATTATATCTGAATTGAAATGTCTTTTTTTTCAACCAACAATCCAGAACCTGAAATGCTCAATTTATTATTTACTTTTTTAAATAACTTTATATCTTTACAATATAAATCACTGTAAACTGAATGTCTTTGGGTTTCAGACTGCTGATTGGACAAAATGAAGTATTTAAAGACGCCTGCTAAGGACCAAAGTAATTTTTGGCATGATTCTCCTACTTTGACAGTGTAATAATAAGAGCTTCATTATATGCAACTGAGACTTAAGTTCATGTTCTGCCACCACACAGACCTTAGTTTGCTTCAGCTTACCTGGGCAACTTCCACATCTCCTACTTTGAAGGCTTCATCAGTCTGTGAAGCAGACATCAGCTGAGACACTGTGCAGGGGATTATCTGTGAGGCACGGGTTCTCTGTTAAACATAGACATACACACACAAACAGCATTAACAAAATTAAACTGTAGACTTTCTTAATACCAGAGAGGATAATTTAGTACCTTTTTCACAGGCAAACTAATCAAAGCATGATAGCAAACAAACAAAAAACCTATGTTAAGTTCATTAATTTGTTTACATTTATCCCACATTTTGTCAAACGTTCACAACACCAAACAAACACAAAGATACAAAATGACCACAAAGAAAGGCAAAACAAATACAAAGAGACAAAGACATGCCAAACAAACATAAAGACAGTCAAAATGACACTTTCTGTGTCTCTTTCAGTCCACTGGTCCTAAATAGGGGGAAGCCTTTGACTTGTTTGTGCCCAGGGGCCCATTGTCTCATAATCAATCTGTCTATGCCTAAAAGCAAAACATTTTCAGGGAAGACAGAATGTTCGTTGTTAAGTGAACTGATGAATAATGCTTTCGAAGACATTCTCGCCATCCAGCTGTCAGGTTTTACATCGCTACATAGACAAAAAACAAACAAACGTGTAAAGTGGAAACGGGGGAAAAAGCTGAATAAACATAATATGAAAGTGCGTCTTAAAGGAAGGGGTTGTTGATGTGACTAATGTTCAACACCATTTCAAGGCTCTACATCTTGTTTCAAGCTCCTTCTAGATTACAAAGACGTTGTAACATTAGTATAAAGTTAGCACAGACCCCTTTCTTCTCTCCTCCCTGGGACAAAGCAGGTGAAGCAAAGCCTCCTGGAGACTGAGTGTAACCTCCGGCCGTGCTGGATTCACTGTATCCCCCTGAAAGAAGCAAAAAGAGACTTTGCTAACTAACATCCATGACACAACAACAAAGACGTACACATTCACGCTAACGTTAGCCGCCGCCAGCCAATGTCAACAACCTGACCAACCTGATCCCTTAATGAGCACAACAGTATAAAAGTTACACTCACCCTGATTCCACATGTTTGCACCTTATGTTTAAGCTAATACAATAAAATCTAAACTGTTACTGAGGAAAGGGACTACAGGAGTAATACAGGGTTATATACTTCTTCCTATTGGTCTCCCGCGCGCCAAACTCAATGTACAGCGCATGTGCAGAGCATAAGTCCCGCGAAACCCACAATCCATGAATGGCACCCAGAGTGTTTAAGCCCCGTATTTGGCCTGTGAGGCTAACATTCCTCTCTGGAAATGTATAAGTACGGCTCTTGTCACTATGATTGGCAAGCTAAACCTTCAGCTATAGCTCTAACCATGGCTTACCGTCTATTCATCCAAAATTCGGGTTAAAATGCATCTTGTTAAGGTGGTAATGTCACACAGCCTTCGATAAAGGTCTGCCTGAAAGACACAGTTTGGGGCAAAATAGCTATGAAAATAAAGTAGGACGGCATGTGCTGCCTTTCGACGTGCCGGAAAGTTTATGCATATATTGACAATCCACGCAAGTGATATAGTAAATATTTATAAAAGAATGTCCTCAAGCTTTAACAATTTTGGAATTCCTTATAGTTAATTTTTTAAACGTTCTTATGCTGGATCCAAACTTTATTATTGTCGAAATGAACTGTAAGGAGATATTTGCTGCCTGTAACAGTTTCAAAGAAATAACTTCTGTACAGTTTACATCGTCTAAATTTAACCTCCATAGAGGCATCTAGATACGCAGACTGACGACTATCTTTAGCCCCAGCACCCAAGCACCAGGAATAGTAATGAGCGGTAATGGATGCCCTTTAGGCCAAAGATAGCTGTGTCTTATCTTGCTTTGCCCTTTATAACCTTACCTCTGACGTCTGCATGATTGTTTTCCTCTAAGAGTTCAACATGTCTGCAGTAAGGCTGATCCTATCATGTCTCTTTTTCAGAGGGCTTCTTGCGCTGTCAGGTAAGTTGCCAAAATACCATATTAAACATTATGCATCAATAGCCTATGAAATTAAAGGTGCTCTTGAAATACTCCGTCACTCACACACACACACACACACATATATATATATATATGTGTGTGTGTGTGTGTGTATGGAGAGAGAGAGGGAGAGATAGTAGTATATCATTCCATATATAGTTCCTTTTTATCCAGGAAACTTCTGGCACATCACTGATCTGCACTTGGACCCAAAATACAAACTAACTGAGAAACCTGAACTGGTGTGTCCATCAAGTGGTCAACGACCTGCAGCAAATGCGGGGAAATTTGGAGACTATGCTTGTGACTCGCCATGGGACCTTATCAACTCCTCTGTGTATGCCATGAGGGAAATTCTACCAAACCCAGACTTTATTATATGGACAGGGTATGTATACACCTATTTGTTCTAAGCTGATTGAACAGTTCTTATGAATCTGGTCCTTCTCTGGGGAAACAAATGCTCATCCAGCTTCATAATCATATGTCGATATTGCACACCACAGGCACAGTTTAGCCATGGTGAGTCACCAATGTAAATTATACCACAGCTTTTGGACTCTCTCAACTGTGGGGTGGGGGGGCTTCAATAAACTGTGACTACCTTTCTATCACTGCCTTTAATCATTTACCTATATAGGCCTACAGTAAAGTTTATGAAGAACCTGTGCTTTGCTTCTCAGAGATGACACACCACATGTACCCAATGAGGATCTGGGGGTAGAAGCAGTGCTCCAGATTATGAGAAACCTCACTCACACCATAAAACAAGTCTTCCCAAGTAAGTGTTAGGTGAATGTGTGTATTTAGGGGAGAAAATTGATCAAAGTGTACTTCAGTGTTTTATTATTAATGATTGTCTTCCATTATTGCCTTCCTTAGAAACTAAAGTGTACCCTGCTCTGGGTAACCATGATTACCACCCTAAGAGCCAGCTTCCTGCAGGCCCAAACTACATCTATAACCAAACTGCAGAAATGTGGCAGGACTGGTTGGATCCAAAGTCCCAAGCAACATTTAAAAAAGGTGAATGGAGCCTCCTTTGATACAAACATATGCTTTCCTAAGAATAAATACAGCAAATCAACACGTGACACATGGCATAAATTGTACAAAAAACAAATTAGGCTATACAAATTGTGTGATATATTTTCCGCAATGTGCCCCTTGTATAGGTGGATATTACACAGAAAAGCTGCTAAATCGAACAGGTTATAGGATGCTGGTCCTGAACACTAACCTCTACTATGACCAGAACAAGTTGACCCTGGACATGGACGACCCAGCAGGCCAGTTCAGCTGGGCAGATGGGGTTCTTAAAGATGCAGCCACCAACAAAGAGAAGGCAATGCTTCTTGTCTATCCGTGCCCTGCACAACTTGGATTTAAAAAAAACTGCTAATATTTGGATATTGATGACAAACTCTTAACCCTTTCTTTTAATTTGCTCTTATGTTTGAATTAGCTCTAGAATAGACAAGAAAACAATTTGAATATGTTGGCTACCAGGGTAAACAGGAAGGAAACTTTTGCTGGTTTATGTTCCATGTACTGTATGAGTAATTACTGTATCTCATGGTAAAGAAGTTAACTTTCACAACCAGACATGGCTTGGAATTGAGTTCCATTTGGTTGCTCTGGCCCAGCTCAGCCACAGCCTTGCAAAAAGACTGATCAATTGCAATAGGTGAAGTCAGCATCTTATAATAAATCATTTTTGCTAACTCTTCATTGGTTCCTCTACCAGGTGTACATCATTGGCCATGTTCCCCCTGGTTTCTTTGAGAAGAAGAGAAGTAAAAGTTGGTTTACCCCAAAGTTTAACCAGAAATACTTGGATTTAATTCAGAAGCATCATTCTGTCATACTCGGGCAGTTTTTTGGGCATCACCATACGGACAGTTTCCGCATGTTCTACAACTCAGAGGGTAAGGTCATATTACTATGATACCAAATTTTCTCTTTTTTTAGAATCAGTGGTGACTAATTGGTATCAATTTGTTTTTCAGTTTTTACTTACTAATTTCTTGACTGACTTTCATATTAAGATGTTACTTGTGCTATACATAAAGAGGACATGTTAGAAAAAACAGTGGGGATTCCCTTTTGTTTGTTATAGGCTCTCCTATCAGTACGATGTTCCTTTGCCCTGGGGTCACACCATGGAAAACAACATTGCCTGGAGTGGTGAATGGAGGAAACAACCCTGGGATCCGTATCTGTGAATATGACACCCAAACACTTCTGGTCAAAGTAAGTTAAGGATGTGTGCATACTTTCCAAAGTAAGTTAAGGATGTGTGCATACTAAGGATGTGTAGTTTCTATACAAGTATAGGCACCTTTCTAAGCTGCCTATTTGTATTTTAAAAGGCTGTGCAACCTCCACAAAAGCCTTAGCTGCTTTTTCTGTTCTGCTTTGTTTTTAAACCACTTCTTTGAAAAAAAAAACAGGATGTGGTGACCTATTACCTAAATCTAACTCGTGCTAATGTGGCTGGTGGACGCTGGGAGAAGGAGTACCGCCTCACAGAGAGCTTCAGAGTACCAGATGCCTCCCCCACCTCCATGCACCAGGCTCTGGAAAGCATTGCTAATAACCACTGCCACCTACAGAAGTATTACGAGATCAACTCTGTCAGCTATGACCTGACAGCGTGTGACAGTGAGTGCCGTGTTGACCACATTTGTGCAACCAGAGAAGTAGACTTCAACAAGTATGAAGACTGTTTGCAAAAAGAAGGGGCAGCTACCATATCTGGAGGGTTGCTGCCAGTCCTCTCTGTGGCTATAGGTCTGCTGTTAGCAGGTCTGTAATGATCTATAGACCAGATTATTTTTTTAAATGTATTACTGAAGCTTCAGGAAGTCATTAGGAAAAACAAAATTTAAGATAAAGAGTTTTGTATTTTGTGGTTATGTAAATATTACTTTTAAAAGAAACCTACATTATATGACATTTAACATTACCTGAGTCAGGCACTATATGTTATTAAGCAGAGAAAAAAAACAATCTTTTGGCTTCCAGTCTTCTTATGACACCAGAGGATTAAAGTACTTACAATGCAACTGTGAGGTTCTGGATGAAATCCAGACTTTCATCAAATGTCTTTTTTCCAAAACCTTCCTGTTTAACTCACCTGTATCTATTAAATAAACCCAGAAATCAATCTAATTTGTTTCTCAGAGTCACCACAGAAATTACCTCCACAATACCAACACACATGAACACATCCATCATGACACTCTTATTAAAACCAAACAAAGACCCAATCCACCCTTCTGGTTACCGTCCCTTATCACTTATTAATTCAGACTTAAAAATCAAGCCAAAGCCCTAGCTACTAGAATAGAGACAGTCACCAATACTAATCCACCCAGACCAAACAGGTTTCAGGAATGCTTCAGACAACATCCGTAGATTATTTAATTTAATTATTCTTGCACAACAAAAACAAACCAAAACCATAGTTTTATCACTAGATGCAGAGAAAGCATTTGACAGAGTTAACTGGACATTTCTCTTCTGTACATTACGCAGATTTGGGTTTGGAGAGTCATTCATCCACTGGATAAGAACACCGTACACATCACCTAGGGCGACAATAAGTACAAACGGGATCAGGTCACAAAGTTTCATTTTACAGCAGGGTACCAGACGAGGATGCCCATTCTCACCATCTCTATTCGCCATTTTCATCGAACCTCTCGCAGCAGCTATATGACAGAACAATATAATTAAAGGAATACAAGATACTTACTCAGAACACAAAATTAGTCTTTACGCAAATGATTTATTATTAAATTTACAGGATCCCTATAATTCTCTACAGGAAACTTTACATATTATTAACACATTTTCTAAGATCTCAAACTACACAATAAACTGGAATAAATCCACCATACTACCACTCTCTGAGGATGCCTGGGATTCTGCAGCTCAAGACTCCTCCCCCCAATTCTGCACAGGCAACATTAAATATCTTGGTATTAATATCTCTCCCAGGCTGTCAGAAC